CGATGGCCTTTGAATTTGAACAGGGAACATCATCCGCAGACAAAACACCAGAGCGCAGTATAGATTTTAGCACGACAAAAGTATCCGCGCAAGTGCTAAAGACGGTATTGACCATACCTGCCAATGTAAAGCGCCGCTGCGATTTATTACTGATCGGTTATCCGCAAATACCTGACATCAGCATCAATGGTAAAACGCTTCCTTTTAGCCGGCAAACCAAAGCATTACTGAACAATTTTGCAAGCTATGCAATTTCAGGAATGCCAAGTACCAAAGCGGCAGACTGGAAAATGGCAGCGATCGATTTATCGGCATATGCCGGACAAACGGTCGAAATTGTCTACAGCCAAAAAGGAAAATTTGAAAGCCATCTTTTATATGAAAAAAATGTCGAGCAGAAAAGCTCCGGGCTCCTAAAAACGGAGTTGTTGCCACTTACAAATGATACCAGACGAGGTGTAATTCAACTGTACTAAAAAAACAATATGATAAAGAAAATTGCCTGTGTTATTTTATGGAGTATCTGTGGTCATCCTCTTTTTTCTCAAACGCTTGCTAAGGAAGTTTCGACTCCCAATATAAAAGCGACGAAAGCTTTATTGCAAAGGGTATTGCCAAAACACCATGATCAGCTGTCTGTTGAATTTATCGCGGCGGACAATGGAAAGGATGTCTTTGAATTGGAAAGTAAGGCTGGAAAGGTGGTGTTGAGGGGAAACAATACCGTATCCATAGGTTCTGCACTGAACTGGTACCTGAAATATTATTGTCGGGCACAGCAAAGCTGGTGCGGCGACAATATGGACCTGCCTGAGACATTGCCCCTGATTCGGGAGAAGCTGAGGATTTCATCGCCTTACAGAGACCGGGCATACCTCAACTACTGTACTTTTAACTATTCTATGGCCTGGTGGGATTGGGAACGCTGGGAAAAAGAGATCGACTGGATGGCTTTGCATGGCATCAATATGCCGCTTGCAATTACCGGGCAGGAGGCAGTCTGGCAGAACACCTTATTGCAATACGGAATGAGTAACGACGAGATCCGTTCTTTCCTGGTAGGGCCGGCATTTCAGGCCTGGCAATGGATGACCAATATAGAGGGGATTTATGGCCCACTTCCACAAAAATGGATAGCGCGCAGCGTTGAACTGGGCAGGAAGATCCTGCAGCGCGAAAGGGAGCTGGGGATGAAGCCCATCCTTCAGGGCTTTACAGGATATGTACCCATCAAGTTAAAAGAGAAACATCCGGCAGCAAAAATCTTAAAGAAACCCATTTGGTTCTATGTTGGAGAAGGTACGGCACAGTTAGATCCGCTGGATCCTTTATTCGCCAGGATGACAAAAACATTTCTGAAAGAACAACAAAAACTTTTTGGAACAGATCATATTTATGCTGCGGATCCCTTTCACGAAGGAACACCTCCGGTGGAAGGTAATGATTACCTGGCTTCGGTGGGGAAAGCAATTTATAAGGCGACCACTGCGGTAGATCCAAAAGCGGTCATTGCCATGCAAACCTGGGATATGCGTAAACCAATTGTACAGGCCATTCCGGAAGATAGAATCCTGATGCTGGACCTGAATACGGCGAGATGGAAAAAGAGTGAAGCTTTTTGGGGCAGGCCATGGCTTGCAGGGATCATCCATAATTTTGGAGGCAATACGGCCATGGGTGGTGACCTTGATGCGGTCCTGGGACGTTACCCCGCACTGTTAAATGAACCTGCTCAAACTAAGGCATTAAAGGGGATCGGGATGTTTCCTGAGGCCATTGAGCACAACCCTGTGATTTATGAGGCTGCCAGTGAGATGGCCTGGCACCGGGAAAAACCGGATACCAAAACCTGGTTACAGGATTACCTGAAGGCGAGATATGGTTCCCTGGATCAACATACGACCATCGCCTGGGACACTTTGCTGCGTACTGCTTATGGCAAGCATGGTGTGGAAACCTTTATGGAATCAACCATCTGCGCAAGACCTGCACTTCAGGTGAATGGGGCTTCGCCAAATGGGGCACTGAATCAGGAAAAGAACTACCGCTTTGCAAGTTTATGGGAAGCGCTGCTGGCGTTAAAACAAGCCTCAGCGGAAATCCGGCAAAAAGATACTTACAAATATGATCTAGTTGATTTAATGCGCCAGTGTATGGCCGATCTTGCCATCCCTGTACAGAAAAGAATGGCCGGATCTTATGAGCAAGGGAAGGCAGCAGACTTCCAGTCGTACAGTAAACAGTTTTTGGATCTTATGGAAGATTTTGACCGCTTATTGGGTACAAGAAAGGAGTTTTTACTGGATAAATGGGTAGCTGATGCCAGGGCAATCGGAACTAATGATGCAGAGAAAGCACTTTATGAAAAAAATGCCAGGGGTCTGGTGACGATCTGGGGTCCATACGATCCCAATGCCATTCAATATGATTATTCCGCCCGGCAATGGAACGGCCTGGTGAGTAGTTTTTATCAGCCCAGATGGCAGATGTTCATTGATTTCTTAACAGCAGAGCTGAAAAAAGAGCCCGCAATAAGGTATCAGGAAATTAAGATCAATCACCGTTTTAACCGCCCTGCAAACGAAGCAAATGCATTTTATAAGATGATCTCCAGATGGGAAGCCGATTGGGTGAATAAACCAGGGAAGTTAAAGACCATCAAAGCCCTGGGAGCTGAAAATGCGACAGTTGATCTGCTTTACCGTAAATGGCTGCCCGTTGCAGAAGAACTGTATTTGCAGAAAAAATAAGAGAAGTGCAGTAGTTGATTTGGCCGTTTTTCCTATCGAAAAACGGCTTTTTTTATGTTGAAAAATGGCTTTTTTCATATAATAGGTATAGATGTTTAATCCTTTTGCAATCGCGGATGCGATATCAATAATCCCCCCGCATAAGTTTTTTTAATTTTTTTTGAATCATTTGGTTCGCGACAAGTACTTGTTAATATAGAGCTCCTGATCAGGGGCTCCATGAACCGGGTCTTCCTTAGCAATAAGATCCTTTTTCAATCAACCAAGTATTAACCAAACCAAACAACTAAATGTATGAAACTTAAAAATTTACTTTTTTGTAGGGCATCAGTTTTTGTACTGGCACTATTAGGGGGGAGTTTAGCCGTAGACGGGCATGAACAAAACCACCTGATGTTTTCAGGAACCAAGGATTTCACAGTCCCGGATGCCAAAATTGGGCGTTCTATTACTTTTGCCATCATCAAGGGGAAGGTAG